GAAAAGCCTAATGGTTCTCATATCCAAAGAAGGGAAGCAGGCAGGTGCTGGCCCCAAGCTCTTTACTCCAAGAAGGACCCACAGCCAAGAGTAGAGGAACCATAGAATCTATGCAGTTTCCCAGCACCACAGCCCAAAGTAGGTAGACCTTCCTGGGGCATGCCACCACCCTGCCCAGGATACTAGACATGATCTTGTTCTGTTGATTAGTCTTCACAATCTGTGGAGCAAGTATTACTCATGCATTAGGAAATAAAATAATGCTAGAAGACTTGTCCTCCAACATGTAGCAAAAAAACTGGAAGAAGAGCATCAAACCCCAGGTTTGGTCCAGGCTTCTTCACTCTCTGGGGCTTTTCTTAGTTCCCTAGTCTGTTTAAATCGACCTCTCCTCTTCTATGTTCTGGCTTCCCTTGCTTGTAAAGGGACAGTCCTGCATGTCTGTATTGGTGCCATACTCCTGCCCTGTTCTTAGTGAGCCACCCAGGCAGAGTCTCCTTAAAGGAACACCTGCAATCTGGAGTGGTCCATCTGGGATCAGCTGTGAATGTACCAAATGGCCTTGCAGATGTGTAAGGCGAGTTTCTTCCCTTGTCTGACCAAGGAGAATGGAAGGAAGTCACTTGGGGCATGCCCTGGAATTAGAGGTATGCTGGTTAATAACTAACAACTGGCTCTCTGGTGTGGGTTGGAGAGGAGGACTCAGCCCTGATGTACCATTCACCAATTTCCTTGCTGTAAGTACTCCCACCGTGGCCAATTTCAAGATACCCAGATGTCAACCAGCTTGCAAAATTCCTGAAAACCTCAACAATCAGTTTTCACAGACAGTTCTGTGAGACAATTTAATAATAGTCATGCCCTGCTCTAGCCCACCCAGTTTCTCTTCCTGATTCTACTCTTTAGGCTGTGCTGGCCTCAAGTCACCCCACTGCCCTCGCAGGGTCCCAGGCCCTGTGAATGGTGGATGGTCCTATGCTTTTGAATTCCAGGTCTTGGAAAATAACTAGTGGATGAAATCTATTTGGAAATAAACATTCATCCTCCAAATCGGAAAGAAATGCAGACTGCTGAATCAGCCCCCATGAGCTACATAAATTTGGGTTGTCCTCCTCCTCAGACCAGCTCTGCTCTCTGCCATCCTCAAATAACAGCCTATAACTGGGGCCCCTTGGGAGACCTGCAAATGACCATTTTTTATTTAACTTTTATTCTGGGCCTTCCTCTTTAGCCCAGTAGAGCCTCCCACTACTTTTCCCTAGTCAGGCAGAAGAGTACCTCAGCCCTCTCTGTTATAGAAGCTCATGTTAATAGAAGCCCCTGTGGATTCCTCCAAGGATACCAGACAATTTACTTAGTGGGCATATCAGAGCATATGTATCATCTACTGACATTTTACCCTCAGATGAGCTGTGTGGATGTAACTGTGTCTTGCTTTATGATAAGAATACATTCTAGAAATCTCGTGTTTAATTTTAACAACCACTCCTCCATCTGGGAAGCACTTCTGAGTTTCCAAAGGCCTTTTACACACCATTCACCACCTAAGCAAGCCTCCAGTCAACCCTTAGTTGGTGATTATGAAAGTACTCTTACTGGGCCAAATCTGTCAGTATGGAAGGTACTTTACAGATCACTTAACCTGGCCACCCAGCCAAAGCTTTCCTCCGCTCTGCAGGGGAGGCCTCCCAGAGGATCCCACTCCAGCCTTGAGAGTCAGAAACTTGGAAAGGTATTATTTACATTGTCTCCTTGTTTTTGTGCACTGTTTATATGTTGGGCTTCAGGGGCAAATAAAATAGATCTGATCTAATCTAATCCCTTCATTCAGATATTTAAAGGGGAGGGTCTCATACCTCCCCATTTTTTCCTAGTAACCAAATCATTACACATTCCAGGTTCCATCAAGTAGGCCTCATATGAAAACTCATAGAACCCCTTCACCATGCCTGTCAGCTCTCCTCTGAATGTGCCATCATGTACTTGTTTAACCAAAGTAAAACAGTATCATAACATCCTTATTCTATGAACTAGACTTCCATTAATGCATTCTCAGACAGCCTTAGTTTGTGTCAGGATTTGTTTGTTTGTTTTGCATAGACACATTACACCTTGGCTATATCTAGCTAGTCATCAACTAACACAGCGCTACTAAGTCATCTCCCCGGTTCTGCACTTACATTATTGATTTTATTGTTGGAAATGTTCAATTTTAACATTAAATGAAAAATAATCTTGGGATTTTTTGTTATTGTTGTTTTTTGTTTGTTTTTTCAGAGAGATCACCCTGTCGCCCCAGCTGGCCTGGAACTCACTGTGTAGATCAGGCTGGCCTTGATCTCATAGACATCTGCCTGCCTTTGCTTCCTGAGTGCTGGGATTAAAGGCATGTGCCACTCCACCCAGCATAAAAAAATAATCTTATAAGTTTTAGTCTATTGCCCAAATCTATCAAAATCTTTTGGTTCCAAGTTTCACATCATCCATAAATTTGCTGAGCATTTCTTCAGACATCCTTTAAACTGCCAAGAAAAATGTTGAAGGGGATGAGTAAAAGAAGGAAGCACATGGCCTTTTCCTAGAAACCTCCCCCATGCTGGCATCTGTCCTTTGTCATCCCTGAGGTGTAGTTCACTAATCCATGCAATTGTCTGCCAACCCACATCTCTCCATGTTTGCCACAGGGTATCATATGGTGGAATATGCCTTGCTGAGGTCAATTACGATGTATTTTCCAGATCTTCCAGTTTAATGATCTTGCCAACTCCAGTGGCGATCCATGATGTCAGGCACTCCTCTCTGTGAGCCTAGAGTTTAGCACAGTGCCCGGTATGTGGAAGGGACTCCTGAAGTACCTGCAGACAGAGCCGCTTGTGTTAGCAGATGATGGATGAGAGAATCTCAGTGTGAAGATGAGCACCGTTTTGTCTGAATCTGCCTTCTTTCTCCATCTTGAAGTCAGCTACAATATTGGCTTCCATCTTCTTTCATGTGGCACCTCTTTAATGTCCATCATTCTTTCAAAGGTCATCAGTTTACTTATGGATGAGAAGATAGGAGCTTAGGCAAGTTAAAGGATTTGTCTGAGGGTCAAAGGCTAATAAAAAGACAAATACTTATCTGATGGCTCCAAGGCACCATGTGCTCTGCCAAGCACCAGTTTGCACCTGTACCTCATGATGACAGGGATGTTTCTGACAAAAATGATACAGTATAGTAAAGAACAGATTCTCCTTTTATAGTGTTAATCTCACTCACCATCTGTCATTCATTAACTCATTGATTCAATGAATATTTATCGAATACCTACTAGTGACAGACTATTCTGGGCTATAAGAATGCAATTATTAAGAGCTCTCCTTGAGTTTGTTTTAGAAAGGAGTGGGGAGAAAATAACCAAATAGACAAGTAGTTTGTAGTCGTGGTAAGGAATATACAGAAAAATAAAGCAAAAGGCAGGGGCTGGATTTTTCTCTGAAGGGTAGCATCTGAGCAGAGCTATAAATAGAGAAAGCAAGGCATGCCAATGTCCTGGAGGTATGCGTACTAGTAATAATGTGCTCGTAGTCACAGAAATCATTTTTCTTCTGGAAAACAGGAACCTAGATTCTGTGATGAACTTCCCAGCTATAAAGCATCTGATTCCTTTAAAGCATATCCATTCATTTATTCATTGACTCATTTGCTCAACAAATGTGTTTATTAAGCATCAGTAATTTTTCTTAAGTTTGACCAGTTGGGTTCCAGGTAGGCAAATAAGGTCTTAGAGCAGGAGACAGACATGTACATTCTGGCCAAGAACAGCGTAGTAAGGGCTTTCATGGTGCTGGGGACAGGTGGATGATGGAGAACAGTACAAGTATGCCATCACTCACCATTTGGGGGTATATTTGACTGAGGGAAATATACTGTAAAAGAATTAAATTCCGTAAAAATGGTTTAATTTTTAAGCTATAAAACTTTAGACAAAGAGCACAATATATTATATTAAAAGGAATTGTTCTAGTTGGCACAATATTATAGGCCTCAGGACACTTTCTAAAACCTATATAACACACTATGAAAAGCACTTCTCTAAAATTTTTGCTATCACCAAGAACAGAAATCTGTCCATTATCCATTAAAACCTCATCTTTGGGGCTGGAGAGAGATGGCTCAATTGTTAAGAGAACTGACTGCTCTTGCAGAGGACCCGGGTTCGATTCCCAGCACCCACATGGCAGCTATGAACCATCCTTAACTCCAGTTCCAAGGGAATCCGAAGCCCTCTTCTGACCTCCGTGGCATTGCATGGCACAGGTGCACTCACATACATGCAGGCAATACACTCATACACATTAAAACAAAACAAAAAAAACCTTATCTTCAAGTGGCCAGATAAACCAAATTTGGGTAGCCATTTAGTCACTCACCAAAAGTATCAGAAGAGTTACCTCTTGCCTTGCATTGAAGAATAAATAAACATCTGCCCACATGGAAACAATTTAGCTACTTTTTTGCTGCTCTTCAAATTTACTGAATTGTACTCATTACTATCCATAAGACTCATAAATATAATTTAAATGGTTTATGGTGGTATTTTTTTTTTCATTTCTGGGCAAAGATCACTACATTTGCATTAAGAATCATCTCTTAGGCTAAAACATAGTAGTTAGGCCTGTAATTCCAGTACTTGGAAGGTAGACACAGGAGGATTAGGAGTTTAAGACCAACCTCAGCTACATATCAAGTTTTAATCCAGCCTGAGCTACATGAGACCCTGTCTGAAAAAAAAATCATATTTTTCAAAATATGCTAGGCCTCCATCCCCTGGAATAGGATGGTCCCCTGAGTCATTTTCTAGAACATTGCTCTGCTGTCCACTGTAATACATGTATAAATGGGTGTTCTTCATGCCCTTACAGCTCTCTTGCCCATGTTCTCCTTTCCAGGAACAGCACAGGCCAAAGAAGACCTCACACTCCACCTAACCTGCCTCCCCCTGTTTCTTCCCTCTGCAGATGACGGCAACTGCCCAGCCCCCCTCCAAGGCCCAGGCTGTCCACATCTCAGCACCCTCGGCCACTGCCAGCACACCTGTGCCCAGTGCCCCCATTGACCCCCAAACACAGCTGGAAGCTGACAAACGAGCTGTGTACAGGTAGGAGACTCTCCAGCCAGCCTTAGCCAAGAGATGAGAATGTAGGCCTGAGGGTGGGCTCATGAGCAATGATAGCCAACAGCGGCTCATCTCAGCCTCCCCTCTTCAGTCATCTCAGACATTCCCCAGCTGGCCACTGTGGGTTGACTCGAGCTTGTGGGATATGTCTGTGACAGATGTGAAGGTCTGTACAGTATCATCCATGAAGACTTCCTTCCCCTCCCATGTAGTACAATGGGCCCTAATGAGCATCAGAAACCCTTAGTTCAGGCCCTGGTTCCTATTGTCTTCATGCCAATGAGCTTTCTAGAATACCAGCCATCTGACTGTACCATCCAAGACTCAATAGTACATAAACTCTATGTGCATGGACACAGGCTCCAGCTCAGACAAGTTGAATCAGTTGGTCAATCTACAGGAAGAGGGATATGAGTTTTCTTTGTAAGCCTTCCAGGTGAATCTGATGCAGGTGATCCTTGAGTCATGCTCTGATTCATGGTGTCTTAGCAATAGATGGTATGTGTGACTGTGTGAGTCCTGGTACTGCCCCTAGGTGGAGAGTTTGCTGACAGCAGGCAACAAAAAAGATGAACAACTCATGGTGTTTGTACCATGTACATAGGGTAGAGTCCTGAATGATGCAAAGAGTGGGTGAAGCTTGGGAAAATGCCCATACGCCTTAATGAACTCTAGCTCTTACGTGCAAGGTTGGGGACAAGGATGCAGTCACTGAGAACAGGACTGAATGATGCTCTAGAGGGAATTTTCCTCATCACTTGCCCATGAGGAGCTCAAAGTGCAAAGAAAAGATGCCCAAGTCTGCCCTCAGTGCAGAGGCTGAACATTGGTTCATATTCACCTGTGTGAGCTCATACATTCCAATGTATCAAAAAGTACAGCGTACCCTGGCTGGTATACATCACAGCCAATGCCAGTAAAATGAGGAATGAAGGACCCAAGACAAATGAACAGGAGGACAAATGAATAGGAAGACTGATCCCTTCCTTCCCCCATACCCCAAAGACAATGCCTTCATGGTAATGGCGGTAATTGCGGATGTTATCATTATTGTTGACATTTTTAGTTACTCAGAAGAGCTGATTGCCTCTAATGGCAACAGTTGGGAACTCAGAGCAATAGCCTGAGCTAGAGATCCTAGAACCAGGGGCCTTTCAGAAGGGTAAAACACAGTACCTGCCCCCTGCTTGTGCAATGCACAAGTCAAGCCCAGCTACCCGTTAGTGCAGGGCTCTGCCCAAAGAATTCTGGGATCTGGTCACATAACTGTCATTGACACTTTCAGAGAGGACAAGTCAGCCTCCTCCAGAGTCCTCTCTTCCCTTCCTCCTTCATATTCTTCTACTGTATCATAACTACTAATATTGCAGGCACTGTATTAGACTCCAGGGCAAGAGGGTGAGGTAGGAAGGTAAATACATGTACTCTTCCCTTGTCAGCCCAGGAACCAACAGTTATGCAAATAAGAAGGCTGTATGGTCAGAGCAACTTGGTAAATTTCATTTTGTGTTTCCCCAACTTGTCAGGTTATGGCCCAGCCAAGTAGTACTTGGTGTTTAGTTTGGGGGCCACTTTATATTGATATGTAAATGGGGCATAAGAAGTGATTTCAGTTCAGCTAGGGATAGATGTAACTTTTGAGTGAGTTTCTAGGATTGGCTCCTCAGAGTCCTGGAGCAGCAGGGTGGGCTGCGTGGATAAGTTGGCTGACAGGTCAGGCTGCGAGCTCACAGGTCTGGGGACCCCAAGAATCCTAGTGACCTGAGCAGGCCTGAGAGCTGAGATGGCAGGCACAGGAGATGTGGGAGACATGGGAAAGGGAACTCACCATAGCAGGTCTGGGAAAGCTGGTGGGGCCCGTAAGGGTCCTAGCAACCCAAGGAGGCCTGAGATGGCAGGGCCCACAAATTTAATTTGGGAGGCAATGTTTGTGGCTGATCTTACAGGCTAAGCAAGAGACATTGCCAGGTGAAAAAATGGATGGGCCGCACCCTCCACGCAAAGCAAAACCTGCTGTGATTCAGGATACAGATCTGCCAGTGGCCAGAGCAGCTTGGGATAGGAAGATGAGGCTGCCCAGCTTATCATAAATTAGCCTGGGCAACCCATGTGGGCATGTGCCTCTGAGGAGCCTGAGACAGGAGAGGGAATAAAGTAACCTCTGAAAGCTTCCCAATGGCCTAGTGGAAGGGGCTTATGCTTATTGGGCTCTGTTTAGATGGCTACTGCTCAAAGTGTGGTCCACGGACCAGCAGCATCACATCATTTCGGAGCTGATTAGAAAGGCAGGGTCTTGGGGCTCACCCAGACCTCAGGATTCAAGTTGTCAAATTCACACGATCTCAGGTAATTTATTTGCATGCTAGGGACTGAACCTGGGCATCTTCTCAAACCCCCAAGGGTGTAGTGTGTAGTAAATATAGACTGTAAAGAGATCCTGATTAGGAGGATTTTTAGGAGGAAAAACATCAGAATTGAGGTGAGGGCTAAGAGAACTGAACAGGCCTCCCCTCTGATCCCCTGTCATCATGCTCTTGGACACAACTACCAAAGATGTGCATTCAGTCATGGGATCTGTTCAAAACAAAATGTTTCTGGAAACCCAGGCTTGAGTCTTACCTCTGCCAAGCCCTAGTCTCTCTGAGCTTTTGTTTCATGATAGAATCAAGTGACAGATTTAATAAGAGTTAATGAGACAGCCTATGTTAAACACCTGGCACCACATCTGGCACAAAGCAGATCTGCACTTCCAAGATGATCAGAGCAAGATCCATAGGCTCCGAAATCCTTCTCAATCTCCTAGGCTCCTACTCCACCCAGGCCACTGAGGAGAGGTGGCTGGTTGCCCCTTGAGACCTGTCCACCATGGTATCACTTGAATTATGGCCCAGACCTTCCTTCAACCAACACTTCTTTCTGCTCACCCCTTTCCCAAACTTTACCTTCTTCCTCAGGGCAAACCGGTTACACATAGCCCTTAGCATTTATCCAAGGTGGGCCTGTAGCCATCTGACTCCACAGAGGGAACCCCCCCCTCAGGCAAACGTGGCTGCCAGGCTCCTTACAGCCAGGCTTGCCAGTGCCCAACTCCTCAGCCTTCTAGTTCTGTTGCCTCCAGGCCCTGAGCCCCAGAGTTGTCTCCTACAACCACACCTCTCCCATTAGTACCAGCAGCCCTCTCTGCAGCCATTGCCTGGATGCTAGCCTCCTGTAGGGTTGGATAATTTTAATTAGATTTGCCTGCCTGGGGCAGCTTGGTTGCTCCAAAGCACATCAGGGAGCCCACATTTTACGTCAATAAATGTAACAAGACCCTTTCCATTCAGATTAGTGCCCAGCCCAGGACTTTTTAAGAAACCCTCAGTGTAGTCTCTTCCAGAACCACAGACAAGGAAGACCAGGGAAGCCTTTCTGTAGCCCTGGTGGAAGGCAGAGGGGCAGTATGACAAAGGGGAGGGGGCCTACCAGTGCCCCCAAGGTTTGATTTGTGTATAAGGATGTGCTAATGAAATGTATTGGTTCCCTTCTGATGTGGAAGCTGGGGGTGGAGGGGAAGCAGAGCCTGTCTTTAATTGGATCATACCAGAGCATCATCTGGGCTAATCAGCAAGGCAACCAGGAGCTCCAGCTCAGATTAATGATTGCAGCCTAATCCGAGCAGATCCCATGATTGGATGCACATCCCGGGTAATTGTGTTTGTGGCCCAAGAGCAACCCAGGAGAGGGGATAGGAGGAGGGGAGGCCTGTGGAGTGTGTGTTGGGGGGATTTAGGTCTGGACAGTGCTCAGTTCTCTTAGCCCCGACCCCAACCATGACGTTTTTCTCTCAAAGAAGTTCAAATTTATCTTGGACCACAGCACCCCACCTGCCATGCTGCTGAATGGTGGTCAGGTGTCAGGTGCTGCTTGAGACCTGGAGATTAGGATGCAGAGCAGAGAAGGGGCCAAGAGGGTGAGGTTAATCCAGCTTTCCTTCTCCCTCCTCCCCTCCAGTCTCCTTCATTCCCCTTTGAAGTGTGTGGGTTCCCATGGAAACAGTGATGTCCTGGGGAGCAGAAGAGAGGCAGGGAGCTAGGCTGGCCAGGTGCAAGCGGGGGAGGAAGGCGGCTTTGTGGAGACTGCTCTGTTACGGTATTGGCTGTCTCCCCTACGGCTGCAAGAACCTCTCCGAGAGGGCTGAGGAAGTGGCCCACTGGCAGCAAGGAAGAAGTTACCTATTATTGATAAGGAAATGCAGGTTGGAGGCCCGAGCAGCAAGAAAATCACAAAGCAACTGTGCTCTGCTTCCCCATTAAAAGTGCTCGAGGATCAACCACAGAATCAGGTGAAGTAGGAGATGGAGCTTCTCTACCTCATATTCCCCCTTCATGACTCAACGATTGAATCATTTATGGATCTAGATTACAATGATTTCTGTATCCCTTCCTGAGTAGACTGCTAACTCCATGAGTACAGGGTGGGGGTGGAGGCTATCCTGCCCTTTGCTTGTCCCCAGCACCTAAACAATCAGCCTCAGCAGCCTAAGCAAAGTAGGTGCTGAACTGCTTGTTGAATGTATTTATTAACTAGGTTAGGAAGTGCCCCGTAAATATACTGTGGTTCTAGGCTGATGTGCTGGCAATTGGTGGTGGGGGTGAGGTTGCGTGATTTGTAGCATTTGCCAATTTCTGTGGTGTAAATGCTGTTTCCCTGACCTGCTCAAACTGTTACTGAAGCATTGGAAAGAGATAAGCCCAGCCCACTCTTGCCAGCTGTGAAGTACAATCCCCAGACAGGGAGCCAGGTCACAGCTGCACAGTCTCTATTTATAAATGGAGGAAGAGAGGTAGCCTTCAGTGGCCTTGATCCTATACTTCTGGTTCTGTCCTCTCATAACCCTAGAGTCTTAATTTGAAATGTTATTTCCTTAATGACTTATTACTTCCAATAGTGCTGGGGATGGAGTACGTGCTGAGTAAGTGTTACACTATGGTGTTCCACCT